AAACTACCTACAACTTAGCAGAATGCCAGCGTGCAGAAAGGCTCGTTGCTGCACGGGACAAATACGCGGTTACCGCAGAGATATTGCGTCTCAGGGTGCTACACACTCCGAGGAAAATAGCCTAATGATCGTATTGTGGCTGCCAGCTTGTCACAAAACACCTCCGGCGCGTCCGTGAATTTATCTGTCGCCGTTTCGCTCGTAGAAATCTACGTGTGTTTGAAAAAATCGAAATAAATGCGTTTATGATTATAGCGATTGACGATGGTCAAGAAAATTGGAAAAGAATAGAGTAAGGTGTTATTTCTGTGCGCGCTAATCGAGGTTTTAAAAATATAAATAATACGAGAATCAAAACTTTTCTGAAAGTTAAACGAAAGTTCAATGAAGTGGGATTTGATTGAAAGGAAAATAGGAAGAGGATAATAAGAAAACGTATGTCAGTTTTTTCGGTTTTAATGTCGTAACCCTGCCAAATACAATAATAATAATAGCAATAGTAGTAATTATAATAAGAATCGTAATAATGATAATGATAATAAGTATTATCTAAAATATGTAACCAACGCGTTTCGATAGTGTGGTTACCGAGACAGGTGCGTGGCTGTACCACACACAGGACGAACACGACATGCTATGTGTATGTACATCACACGTCGCTGCGACTCTTGACGGCGTATATTGTATTTATTTCAATAAATCACGTTAACTGCGACACCATACCACCCGGATCTTATAATATAAGATTCACTTCCATAATTGGAATCGCGAGATATTACAATATGCGCATTTCACGGCCGCACTCGGCCGGATATATTACTTTTTAGGACTTTCTCGTACAAAAACGTCACCGGACACGTTTACGATAATATCGTATATAAATATATAATATGTATATATATATATATATAAATATATATATGTATATATATATGTATATATATATATATATATAATTTCGTGCGTAATATATATTTCACTATTAATCTTTCCGCGACGTACAATAATTATACATTCTTCTCATTTTCTTTCGCTGCAATAAATAAATTATTATTCCAAATCAAAGACATCGATATCGATAACAGTAATATGATTACAACCACATTTACAATATATCTATATTTATATCTCTCTATATATATTTATATATCTTTCTTTCATTTCAACTAACGAACTCACCTGTGCGCAATAACGATATAGATCGTCTGCAAGCGCCGCGTAGTATAATAGAAAATATCCAGTTAACATAATGCCTTTCTTTATACAGTGTTTTATAATATATTATTATTGATCTACGTTTCTACGCAACATGTATAATTATGCTTAAAAGATAATAGTTAGTGGCGCGCAACTCTTTCGCCCTTTTTCCAAATTTTAGTAGCTTGCATTTTTTACCGTCATAATCAATATTTGTTCAATTATTTTAAATGTCAAATACAAATATATATTCGTAAGATTCGAGTATCAAATTGAAAATTTTATATATTGCTACGGCTTATATAAAAAAAGAAAATTTTTAGGAAATTTTTCCTTAAGAAATATTGTAATATTTACTCCATAGAACAAAGCTATACTGAAATTTGTAATTCAGGCTACGCTGCGCGCACCGCAGTGTATACATCCGTGCGAGATCCGAGAGAGAATTACTGGCCCCCATTGATTATATTATTCAGATAGAATTACGCTATTCTGATCCACCGATCATCTATCAAAGATCATCAAGCGGAGAACTTTACATACTATGTACAGTAATTATTGTTTCTCTAAATTACTATCTTACGACCTAGTAGTTCCGTTCGTTAAACTCACGTGAATATTCGCATCCTACAAATAGCGATATAGTTCGCGTTGTAATTTGTAAAAACAGTTATAAGATATTCGTATCTTGCGCACTTTTTTAGTATATTTTCGATATATAAAAATAAAAAATATCTTTTGGTCGCCTGTTGAAAGAGACATATACCGCGACATTCTGATATCCAACGAAAAAGAGAAAAACGTTAAAAAACTTGAAATCAAAAATTAGTGTTCTAAAATAGATAAATTGTTAAAAATATTTTATGATAAAATATGCTCGCTAATTAGGAAAATTAATTACTGAAAAATTGGTTAATTAAGAGAAATGTTATTTTCTTCGAGTAAATAAATGTGAAAAATAAATGCCAGGAATAAATATAACGATTAATCGAATTTTACGAATAACTTCGATTTATCGATCTTGTACGAGAGTAAGTCAAAAAGTAAAGAGATATTTAAGAAATCAAATCCTTCAAAACAATTATTTTACTTTTTAACTTTTTCTCGTATTAAAAAATAAAACTATATAGATATACGCAAGTATATGTGCAAAATTCAATATATGAAAGCACCAAGATATTATGAACATCATGTATGATAAGTAAAAAGAAATATCTGTAATCAACACGTATTTATATAAAGAACCAAAAATTTATGTATAATAAGTTTAAGAGTTTAAAAGTTACGTACGACTATATACGTGCGAATTGATGTCTGACGTGACAAGCTCTTATCACGCATTTAACACTTGATATAGTCGCAATCTTTATGGAATATACGAAGAGTGTGAAATGTTGAAAAATAAATCGCGGAATAAATTCAAAAATAATAACTTTAAAATAATAGGTTTTGTTAAATCGCTTGGTTATCTTTAAGGTAAAAAATAATTTTTTTAGGTTACTATTTTCAGGAAATGCTTAGAATGTGGTATCTCGTATAGGTGATATGAAAGGTGATTTCGCTTATTCTTGAAGTACTGATTCTATTTTTCAATCTTTCGTTCTATCGATTTTTTTCGAAACACATAATTTTGTTGCGATTTATTAAACAGTCGAGTCCGATACCTATTCATTGTTGCAAAAGAAACGCGTAGAGAAATATTGTCGAAGCGAAGTGCCAGTGCTTCTAGAATTATTACTAAGATCTTAATTCACGAGACTCCTCTCCGCACGTGTCGCGTATGCAAATGCCTAGGTAAGGTTTATTTTTAGCCAGACTCAACGGAGGTGCCAAATATAAATGACTCGCGTCCAAGAATCGGCGACTCGATCGCGGTGATTTCGAGTCCACGGCTGCGTAACCTCGATTAGTTAGTTGTCAGTTGACGTCTGTTAAGGCACTTGAAATGCTAATTTCGCTGGGCGAGGCTCCTCGAAGAAAATTCAGATGGAGCTCGTTTACCTACTTCCTTTCACGATTCGCCTTTTACGGGGAATTGAATAGTCGTACATTAACATGAGAAATAAGCGCTGATACATATACATATATATATATATATAGAGAGAGAGAGAGAGAGAGAGAGAAAGAGAAACAGAGAGGGACACTCGAATACGCGTAAAGCATCGGATTTTCTTGAAGCTCCACGTACTCTTCGATATAGGAACGTGTGTGCTCGGGGAATGTAAATCCGTAGCCGGCTTGTTTTTTTCTTCTCCGGAATATCAAAATCCCTACGACAATGCAACACTAGAAGATATCGCGCGATAAACTTCATAAGATGTCATGCTAATTGCAGCAGGAATGTTCAATGACTCGTTTCATCTTCCCATACGAGGACGGTAATTAACGCACACAGTACTCGTGCACTTTCGCGCGTGTCTTAAACCTACGAGCGATAACGATCGATATTACGTATTCTATGCAAATATAAAAACACTATTGCGGCCGAAATACCGAACGTGAGCAAGTGAGCAAGTAGAGTATATGAAAATGTTATGCATACACATCTATTGAACAAGTTATTCCTTTTCTTCATGTCGAATGTATAAGTAAATTTTATACAACAGTTATAACACTTACAAGTAGTATTTATTCACGAAAGCGGTTTTCGAAATCTCGAAAGACATTTATCATCGTGCACAAAGAATCGAGAAAAGAAATATCCGATCAATAAACGAAAAGCAAAGACTCAATTAAAATAAATTAATTATAGACATAAATTCGTCATTATTACAAGCTCCTCACTTGTTGACAGTACTCTCGAACACGTGTTTTAAAATTAAATAGAAATAATAAATTTAGCTTATCATAAGATATTAAGTTAGATGTATCATAAATATACAATATCGATCTGAAAAAATTGATAATCGAATTAGATAATCTTAATATTGAGCCGAAATGTTCACGAAAGATTACCAAGACCAAAAAATCTTCCCAAGGGATTTAGATATTCCGTTCATATATAATTATTTAATAAGCAACAATCTGATATTTGAATAAAAGGGGTAAGGCAATGAAATATAAGAGGACGAAAATGATAATGATGACAGATGACATGACATCGGTACATATTTTTACCCCATACGGCGCTCAGCGCTTCTTGATAGCCGTTTTGTCCAAGATATTTCTACAAAGATACACGATTAATGTGGTCGTGAAACAGTCATATCTTGAATACTTCCTTTATTATCGTATTTTTCATTATATTTTCTATTGATAGTAATGTAAGAAATGAATACATTGCGAAAACATGACTATTGTCAATTCTGCCAATAAAGATCCTACTGTAGTCCTGTGATCTACATAAAATATTACGCAGAAAAGCAATAGATCCTTACTCTATTATTCATTCATCACGGAACCAATAATTGATTTATGCGATATGTTAAGGATTATATTAAACGATAATCTGAAAATTTTAGCATAAGATGTACAAAAATGTAGCGATGCATATTGGAGATTAATTATATTATAAATTTTAGAAGTTGTAAAAAAGTGCTTTCAATTAAATCGCGATCAATTGCAACATTTCAATCAAAATTAAAAAGAAATTCTGTCTTTTCGTCAGAAATACACTAGCGTCTCAGAAGTTTGTAGTAAAAACCAGATATAATTTATTAAAAATATTGACATTTATTTGATATAATATCAAAGTAGGTATATCCAAAAAACAATCGCTAGAATGCCAAAACCAAAGAAAGATTTTTGCAAAAAAAAATTTAACCAATTTTATTTGCTACTATTATAAATATATAATAGTATATGTTCGTAAATTTACATCGATATTTTTAACATAATTATTATTATAATTATATTTATTAAAAAAAGAGAAATTACGGAAAAATCGTAGAGCTCGAAAAAACTTTTGAGCAGTGGTGTGAAATATGTTAACACATAAGCCAAACTTCGCGTAATGTTATTCAACAGATTATTTAAAATTTCATTAAAGATTTCTTAATTTTCTCATGAATTGCTTGTGTACCGTTACAAGCGCACTTTAAATGCCCGATATATTATTCCTGGATTCTCACTCTTTTTAATACCTTGAAGTTTCGCGCGTGTTTAATAGAATTTTTTAAGCCGAGGCGACACTCGATTTGAACTTCAGCGCGGAAGATACCGTAAAGCGCACCGAACTGGTCCTCCGGGCGAGGATTCGAAGGATCGGATTATGAAAGGTGTACAAGCACGAAGATTCGCGTGACTTAAGGCACTAACAGTATACTTAAGGCCTAACGTAACGTCCCCTTCCTTAGCATTAGAAGGCACTATTCCCTATTAGAATACAACATGTAACAAATGTTAATTTATCGACCCTCGCATTAATCTTACACGCAGAGGTTTTCTCTTTAATGATATAAACTGGCTCTAGCATATACTGGCATCTTGTTCCGTCGTTTCAACTGGCTCCAGAAATTGTCTCAACTATCTATAGTCGCATTTATGCAGCGGCGAAAATTACTTCATCACGGTTCGAAGAAACCAAGCTAATACTATGTCATCTACACAGTGCATCTCGCAAAGTTTCTAGAAATTATGTACACGATGTATTACACGATATCAAGCGAGCGCATTGAGATTTCGTGGCCCTTACGATTCCGATCGTGTTCGACATGTGGAATCAATGACTTTAATTTTCCGTTCGTTAAAACAATGTTGAATTAATAAAATTAATTAATTTTAGACTTTTCTACTCTTTCTTAAATAGACTAAAAAACTCTTTTTTTTCTATTACAATAAATAAACGAGAATTTTTATTGACCAGCAATTTATAACTAATTAAATAATTTGGAGCACAAATTGCACTTTTAAATTAATAATTCCGAAGTCATTAATTCGATTCGTCAAAGACATCCTGATATGATTGTTATTTATAATCAGATAGTCGCGTAAAGAACAATGTCATAAATATATGTGTAAATTCGATCGTCCTTCCGACAATAATAACGCAGGATGTTTGAGCATATATTTCGGCATTCTGCGGATTTATTGAGCTGTTGAGCTTTCTATCAGGATGCCAATGTCAAATGCAGCTAACATCATTCGCATATAATATACATGCATCAACACGATATAAGGATCGAAGATCTCAAGGTGCGATAGAAAAGAATAATTTATTCGATTATGCTTTCCTTCCCGTAAAGCACGAAGTATTAACGACCCTTATGATTGCACCTTCTACTTTGGCACCTTTACGCAGAATCAAAATTAGACGATTTGCGAATACGATTGAAGAAAACTCTTTTAACAAAAAAAGCATCGTACATATATAATATAGTGCCATTAGTTGATATTGCTTTTTACGCACTCGTAATACTGGCTTTTGAGATGCCGATATCCCACTTCATCACTAATGAAATGTCAATGATTGTCCGTCCCTAAACGCGAAATTCTTTGTGCATAATCAAAAGATTGCTCTATTAATGCTTTACGAAGTGTTTACGATCATGATTGTAGTTTATTTAACTGAGCATGCTAAGTCCCAAGCTCCGTCACCGGAGTCCGATATACTCTTTAATTTACATTCTTATTGTTTACTTACCTTAATTAATTCACCTTTACTGGCTCTATTCTTCGCAATATATATGATATGCTCTAGACTAGTTGAGCTGGCCTTATTTATAAACGTATAGATATATATAATATATATATATATATTAAAAAAAGAAAACAAACTCGGAAATTCGAACAAGTAAAAATTGGCTAGAAACAAAAGAGAAAGATACATATGATAATGACACGTCTCGTCATGCCGAATCTGTAGCGCGAATCTCGATCACGCAAGCGGATCTTTCCTTCATCAAAAATCGTGAAGTGACAAACGCGTCTTTGTTCGAGTCCGATAATTGTTTAAAACAAAAAGAGAGAGAGAGAGAGAGAGAGAGAGAGAGAAAGAAAATGAATATCCACTTGCGTTTAACGCTAATAATTCCAATACAATTATCGCAGCTGCGGTTATCTTTTCCCGGGAAAGATCGATTTGAAAGACTCGCGAGAGACAGCACCGAGACGATCGTCCGATCGAAACTGACCGGCGTCGCGATTGCTTGGCTCGCGATTAAACGCTAAACCTAATGAACGATTTGTTTGCATCGTTGCGATCTCTTTTCTAGTTTTCTTTTTTCCTAGTTACCGCCCGCCCGACCGACCGATCCTGTCCCAAGATTCGGGTGGGGGACGCGGTTCAGGGCGCGGCTCTTCAGGTCCCAAATGTAAAGAAATATCATCGTCGTCCCTCGTCTAGGATCACTCGGGATCACCAGCCGATTAACGAGGAGACCGTTCACCCCCGCCCCTCGTCAATCGGCATGCGCTTTCTCTCGCGTCGCGCGCGACTCTAGACGGTCCTCTTCATCAGTGCCTCTTCATGTGGAGCGACAAATGGTCGCTCCGCGAAAACGATCGCTGACAGAGATGGCACTTGAACGGCTTTTGGCCCGTGTGCTTGCGATAGTGCCGTGTCAGCTCGTCCGATCGTGCGAATTTCCACGTGCAGCCTTCCCATGTACACTGATACGGCTTCTCGCCTGTAACAAATAAATGAAACACCTCGTTGATAAGATATGTTAGAATGGATTAACGGATTTATCGATAGTTATGTATTTTATAATACTTGAAAGAAAAAATATATTTTTCGAAGTTGAGAGACATTTTCTCTTCGCGTTAATCACTTTTCATTGATATTTTTTAATTTTTAAATGACAGAACTCTTTTTTCGAAATACAGCGTCTCAGTTTGTCCTAAGTCGTTTTCTTCGACATATAACCAGAACTATTTATTTAATGTATCAGGAACTCTAGAACTATTACAAATAAAGCCAGAACTCTAATATTTATAATTAATAATTTAGTTTCCATGAAATGAGACGCCAACTTCACACACATAAGCTGAGATCGTAAAAATAAATCTCGAATATATAAATATTAAATTCAACATTCATAGGATTTCAAGGAAATGAAAACTTACATGTTATATAATTCTGTCTAAATTTGATAAAAAGTAGAGAAAAAAATCGTAAAGAGAAATTCTGTTAAAATATGATAGCATATTTTTTATATCAATCCTTCATCGCAAAAATTTTTCTTTTTTTCGCTTCAAAAATGCATAAAGATATGTTTATATATGATTTTTGCACGTGCTGCACGTACTATTGATAACAAATTATTACACAAGCAATTACGAAATTTATCGCATGTTAATCATGTCGCACAAGATAGCAGTCTCATATAAAAGCTAGCATTTCTATATTTCTATCGCATAACAGCAGCGTTTACGTTAAGCTTCTTATTGCATCACAAAGTGTCGAATAATTATTGAAATGGATAAACTTTTTGTCTTCATGTTGATGATTGTTATCATCGGTTCTGCATTTTTAATTCAGGAAGCATGTAAGTTTTCATTTTTCTATAAATGTACTGCACAATTATGCGTAGTGATAATTTCTAATCAATACGCAATACACGTATACAATAAGTAGTGCATATAATTAAAAAATATATTTCACATTTACGTAGACGCGCGGGGATGTCTGCATGGTTCTAGATACTACGACGGCTGTAACTGGTGTCATTGTGTGAATGGCGGATATGCTTGTACCAAAAGATTTTGTTCACAAAGCACCGACTAATTTCATTACTATCAAATATCCGTAATAACTAAAAAATGCATTTTCTTGTTATACATCTAAACATTTTTAAGTATGAGATATAAGTCTTGGAAAATAATACATTGTATATGTCTCGTATGAAATAATAAATATACTTCATGAGTTAGCGCTTATCTTTAATCTTTTCATAATTAAATTGAAAAAAGTGGTGCACATAGAACTAAATTGTGTAAAACCAACAAATTCGAAATATATATCAAGGATATTCAAATTATATTTAAAAAAGATCATATATTATTTTTACGGCCCACTAAATTTACATAAAATATATATTCATCGACAATAATTTATCTTCCCCTATTGAAGACAAATTTATCTGTTGTAATTACATATGTTGTAATTACATATTCAATGATCAGCCAGTAAATGGTCAAACTGTTATCATGAAAAATATGTACCATAATTATTACTTGATTGCCTGTTAAAATATTGCTAATTATTGCGATAAAACTTGCACTTCTAAATATACGACTTGTTTTGACACGATAACAAGTTTATTGCGATAGAGAACCTAACCTAACCCCTCTAACTGAACGAAAATAAAAATCTCGATTAACTTTAATTTTAACATATCTTATCGATAAAACGCGATACATTTATTGCTTGCTAATATCTAATCAAGATTATAAATGCGCACATAAAAGCTGTCATCCATTGTTTTAAATGGATAAAAAAATTCGCACACATTGAATTTTGCATTGTATAATAAATTTTTGCAAAAAACTTGCATTAAATAAGTAACAAAATGTTGTATAGATACAGCGTATTGATATTAATAATTTTTCGCTAACATTTATTTTAAAAATATTCGAAATCAAGAAATTAAAATTTCTAAGAATTTATAAAAGATTTTGTTACTAAATGAGTAGAAAAATTAATTTAAAATTATTTTTTTTGTGCGACATTTTTTAAGGCAATTTTTGTCCTATACCAAGATAAGTCGAAAAACCAATTTTGCGTCCTCTTCATGTTAATCTTAACTTATCTCATCGATAAAACGATATGTGTGTACAGTTGTCATATGCCAAACTCAAATGCACAACGCATAGTATAAAAGCTGCCATTTGTTCGTTTGCCATATCAGTAAAGAAATATTAAATTTTGCATTGTACAAGAAATATTGCGTAATTAGCAAAATGTCGTACGGATACCCCATAGTGGTTTCAATGCTCTTTATCGTTTCATCGGCCGCTATAGCTCACGGATCATTATCAAGTAAGCTTTTATTTTTTTACGTATCGAGAGTACCAACGTCGTAACAATAATGTCTTGACGCATAATAATGCATATACCTGTAAAAAAATTTGTTTCTTTATATAGTTACGCAGCGAAGATGTGGACACGGTATTAGTTACTATGACAGATGCGATAACTGTGGTCGATTGACTGACTGATTTAGAAGTTAGTGCATGTAGACGAGCTATGTAGTCCGGTGTCCTGGGGAATCTATTCGATCGCCTCAATGTCTATGCATACAATTATTGTATATTACCGTTTTATGTAATTATGGTAGTAATATCACACTAGCTCATATACACAATGAAATCTTGTGTATCTGCAATCGTGACTGGCTGTTGCACAAAATAAATATAAATAATAGCAAAGAAAATATATATATATGTCTTTCTTCTTTCTTATCACAGACATCCGTAAATTTTTATTCTTATTTATATGAGTTTTTCACGTGCTGAATTCTAGTGAAAATAGATATGTATTGCTAGTCATGAGAAATATTTTATATTTTTAATTATTTAATTTGTTTTAATTCGATAAGTAATGCTGTGTTTGTAATAAACATGAAAGCCTTGATTTGATCAACATATATTGATCTATATTTAATAAGATGATAGCGTCGTAAATAGCATTATCATATCGTAAATTATCGCAATAATAAAAAAATACAGATCATGTTATACGATATATATATTTACAAGTTTAAAAGATGTAAAATCGTTTATATATCAGATTTATTCATTTAAGAAGAAAGCAAGTATTTAAGAAAAACTTTTTTAATTGATTAGCAATTTTTAATTACACAGTTCATTAAATGCACATTAAATATATATTTAAATTCTCATTAACACTATTAGTAAATTTTAAATTAATAAATTAGTAAATTTATTTATTTGATTTTAACGTGCAATTTATGACAAAACGATATATTTTTACGAATATATTTTAAGCAGGCAATGATACTTACGTGATCTGACGCAATATTATTATATGAACGTGAGATTCTCATGGTTTTATTATCATACAGATATCACTTAAATCAAATTTACGTGTCCAATGCATTTTTATCGCTTGTGTGGCCTAAAATACGTCAGAGAGAGAGACAGAAAGAAACAAAAAAAGAGAATAAAGTACAAATGTCACGAAATATAGATACAGCAGTCCTATATAATAATCTTTTATGCGTATTTCTTTCAAAAAGAATTCATCATCGAAACTAGAGTATCGCTAAAATCGTATAGAAGTTTATCATGGCGTACAACAAAGTATTTATGATAATAGTCATTACTAGCTTAATTGCATTACAAAATTCCACTGTAAAAACATGTAAGTTCTCACATTTTGTGTCATTATATTATTCTTTGTTTACACAAACAATTGGTAATAATCTGAAAATTAATAAAAATTTTCATCGTTTATACAGCGCAAAAATGTGTGCGAAGTAAAATCTATTTTGACGAATATAACTATTGCTTATATCATCCAACTGATAATATGAATTGCACCCGTAAACTTTGTGATTCACACGGGTCGAATATATCAGTGCATATAAGAGTGCATCCAGCATCTATTAATTTCTGGCAATAACGTGCTAATTTGCATATGTGCATCAACCAACAAGTTACATTTTTGCTATATACTGTAGAAAGCGAACAAAAATGTAATTTTTGTATAAATAAAAACAGAATAAACAGCGTAAATAGAATAGAAGACTTTATAGGATTCCATATGTATAGATCGTTAATATTAAATATTAATTTTTTTATTCTTAAAATTATTTCGATCCTTTATAATAATATTATATAAATGCATTATATTCCGCTGCAGAATGATTACACAGAGTACCGCGTGATTCCACAATATAGGGACGAAACGTCGAAGCAAGGCGAGGAATTGCTTCGTGCGCTTGAAATGTACCATGGAAACGGCACTATCGCCGATGACGTAATCGCCATCAAGTTCAACCGCTTCGTGCAGCGCGAGACGAAGACGGACTGGCGAATCGAACGTTACGATCAGGTGCCCGGTGCGCGATCCCATTAACCGCGACCGGCTAAGCCCGGGTAATGGCCGGCACGATTGAGCGACGGAGGCGACGACGTGCCGTCTCTTCTCATCCCGATCTCGTGGAAACCGCGCCGCGGTTTGATCGATATATTTGCGTTCCCCGGTTCGCGAATCCCCGACAGATCGAGCGAAGCTGCTCGCTTGTGGGTTGTAAGTCACAGGCGGGTCAAGACAAGGAGTGTTATTACCGCGTGGATCAGACGGAAGAGATGGGGATCCGATGCTTAACCCTTAATTTGGTATTTGCCCTTGCAAATGGCCGGTGTTAAGGCACGGCCGGAACAATTATCGCGTCAGTGGGGCGTGAGCCGCGGCCCGGCGAGAGACGAGGCAGAGTAACGCACATTTATTATTACGCATTAGAGACGATTAATCTTTATAAATCGGACGTTTTAATTACCGCGACGCACGAAGGGGGGAAAATCGCCGTGAGATCGGCGAAGAATCACGCCTTCGGTGCGCCTCTCTGCGTGGCGACTTTCCGCGTAGATGGCGAAATTCTGATATGCAAAAGAAGCGTTATATTTTTTTTTCTACGAAGACACTTTATCTTTCGTCACGGTTTATCCCATTGTGTTCATGTCCGGGATAATAGAATAATGCGCGCTCGCGATTCCTCGGAAAATGGATTGCCGTCGTTATCGCGGCGCTGATAGTTAACGTTGCATTGTCCGTAACAACCGTAGTACCGCCGTATCGCGGGAGAAAGAAAGAGAAAAAGAAACCCAGTCACTTCGGAATATTAACGTCACCTTTTTGACGGTACCGCGGGGCTAATTACCGAACGGTAATTAACGACGTAGTCCTGAAAGCCGGCGTAATTAAAGACGCGCGACGCGAGGGAACGGCAGGTTGTTTTCCGCGCTCGACGCGCGCGCGCGCGCGATTGGAAAGGATTGAGCCTTAGTGGTGGAATCGAAGCGGCGGGGCGCGGATGATCGAAGACACGCTCGCCGCGGTAGATCTAAATCGGCCGTTTTAACGTCTCGACGCCCATCGGGCGAGTATTATTGCGCAATTCTGCCCGGGATATGCGAACGACTAATGACAGGGAAGGAACTCGCGCTCGCGCGCGTTGTTGTTGCGCAATTGTGAGTAATTAGTTCATTTACGAGCCGTATGCGCGTAATATCGGCCGATGGGCAACGATCGAACGTCGCATTAGTTCGCCCGTTATTAATGCATTTCGATCGCATTTTTGCGCACGGTCCGTGCGTTTATTGCGCCATAGATTAACATCGCGTTATCTCCCCCATTGGTTGTCTTCCTTTTCCCGGCGCGTAATTACTTAACCGTAATAGTGAGTTTAACACGTGTGTATTCGCGCACAAAAGTTCGCGAAATAAAAAAAATATTTATATAATTTAAGGAACCGTGTACATCGTGCGTCCAATATGATAAAAATCACTGATTGATCATACGTATACAACTTCATAGAGTTGTATAGCATTTTGTACGTAGTTTATTGATTCTGGAAATCGATGAAGAAAATTTGCAAAGTTTTATTTACGCAAAAGACAAGAGTTAAAAGGCAAGAGTTAGTAAAAAAAAAATGCCCGTAAAATACGCGAATTTATGAAGAATGCTCTTTATACTTTACTTCACACGCAGTTAAGTGTTTCTAATAGTTTTATAGCTTGCCCAGATGATATCATATCTCATTCTTTATGTTCTTATATTATACTCGTACATTTTATAGAGCCCCTAACGAAGTGATACGATCATTAACCTCGTCGCAATGCACCGCTTTTTTTATGATGCAGATGCACACGATCTATTTATCACGCGCGTAGGAAAGTACGCAGAGACATTGTTTAATTATCGCATCACGGCGTGTCCCGTCCTTTGTTACACTTCAGATAGCGAGATAGATGAGCCTATTTATCTTGAGACAAGCCCGCTGGAGTCACGCAGAGCGAAACTTTGAGGACAGTATAGTATCATAACTGCAACGCGATACATAAACAAGATGTTACTTGACGTAACTCCAAACTATACGACAATGAAGACATTTTAAACTTTTCTTTTTCATTCAAATGAATTGCATTAATCTTCTTTACGAAAAGAACCGAGCTATTACAATGTCACACTGTACAGAATATTTGCCACAATAGCCGTATTACGAGATCGCTGAACGCGTAAATTAGGCAACTTGCGTAACATATCTTGCGGATCTACCGTTCGAGTATCAGTTAACGAAGCTGTACGCTTCGAGACATTTGCGGCGCGAGGCATATAATTATCATATCGCAGCACGTGAGAAAGTTGCTCCGACGCATAGTTAAGCGACACGATGCGTGTTGGTAATGAGGAGCGAACTAACAGCTCTCTCGACTAGAACGCTAAGGGGGGAAAAAAATAAAGCGTGTCGTTTGTAGATGCAACGTTCACGTGATGTCAGACTGTAATGAGATTCCGAGCGTTCTCGATGCATCTTCAAATCACGTACGAATAATTTATACGAATAATTTATTTCACTTTTAAAGCGCGCAATTGAATTCGTTTTTCTTGACGAATAAAATGTTTCTTTAACGCAATAATAAGGAAATATTCAAATTTGAAAATCATTTAGTTCAATAATTTACTCATAATCACTAGTATTAATAATTGAATCAAGCAAGTCCACAACTTGTGATATTGCTTTTAAAGAGTTTCAAGTTTTAAATAAAACTTAATATTTTTACGCCAACTACAAAAATTATGGATTTGCTTCGCAAATATGGATATGCTGCGAACTCCTCGATTACTAAATTACATCGTGAATTCGCGTTAATGTCGCGGCGCGCTTAATGACGACTTGAATTTATCAAGTTCTCAAATCATCCCTTCGTACGTAACAAATCAACGAGCGGAGAGGCGGAGCATTGTCATTATTATTACGAAGACTATCGAGCATGAAAGTCGGGCCGACAGTGAATATTGCAGCTAAGATTATGGGAAACTGTTTTGCGGGAAAGAGAGCAACGACAATTTGCAACAACGATTTGCAACGATCAGCGAGAACAATGCGGAGAAGCGTGCTCATCAGGAAATCGTTAACCTAGCGAAGGTAATCGCAGCCTTCGGCATTAGTGCATAAGTGCATTGTTAATAACAGGGTACGCGAGGCACTACCACCACACTCGCTAGAGAAATCTACAAAGCGAGCTCTGCCTATGATGATCGGCGTATCCTTCGATACACGGAACCGATCGGCTGACGTTGTCCGGCTTACGCCAAGGCTAATTCGCCTTAATTAATACACGAGGTCTCACCAAACCTCCTCCTGTCTATCACGGGTCACGCCAGTCGGCTGACACCGAGCCTGTATTCTGATACGCGAGCACAGTGATTCTCAGCCTCTAACGTTTTTTCCGATCGGTTTCAATTTTTTGTTACGGAGAATATCGCGAATAATTTGGACGCAACGATAATTATAAAATCGATAATTATTAAATAGAATGGAATTAATATAAAACACTAATGACATGCCAGAACGGCATTTTAATTATGCAACGATTTCAATGAGCGATCGATGAGTAATGGCATGTAATTGCGAAGAATAAAATATAATTGGCTTTATTAAGATTTATAAATATATAATAGAAGTCGCGCCATTAGTATCTTTAATATAGAATTCGCGCTCTTTCCCTCTTTCCCACGCGTATTACTGAACGGCCTAAATTCATAATTGTAAATAAACTTAAATTTATATCGCTCCCCATTTAATTACACGTCTCGTTAAGAATTCTTTTGACTCAATCAAAATCGTGACTGGCGGAAAACTCTGGCATAGAAAAAAAAATAATGATGCTTTTAAAAGAAACGGCAGGCGTTTCTTAACTCACGCGGAATCATCCGCCGAGGGAAATGCGATAATTAGAGATACCCCGTAGATACAATGTTGCTATGCGATTTCTCACAAGCGGATAAGGAATTTTATGTATACGTTAATGGGCGTAGGAAACATCTCTCACCATATGATCGTGCAAGGGCGATTTACCGTGTGCTCATAATGAGCTATGATTCTCTACCTGTAATGCAACTCTCGTTACACGCAACAACGTGCGTCAGGATACGCCGCTATTCGTCGATATTAGAAGTAATATTAAGCTGTTATTGTTCCGTTACGTCGTCAATGAGGCGCGTAATATGAACAACGTCGAACAAGACGCATAATCTCGCGCATAGGCAATTAATATCGTTGATTACGATTCACCCTTTGGCCCGCTACTTATTTTATCGAAAAGTTTTCTGTACGTCATAATTTCAAATTATAATTCAATTGAATTTATTACTATTCGTGCAGTGTATATCCCGATGAATCTGGGAAAAGCTAAAAATGATAATTAATAATAAGAAGCATATACCACATGTAGAATTCTAGAAATCCTTTTGTAGATTTTATAGCACGTAACTATCGTGTTTAAAAAAAAAATGAATATTTTATTCCAACACAAATAGCAATGAGGAAGATAGTTATGCAACCGAACGACTCGTAAAGCATAATATTTAATATGCAAAGTTTCCTGAAGTTACGAGCCGCTGAAAACTAGCAGGCTGTTATTTCCCGAACGGGGACAATTTTACAATCGCTCCCGCTGGCTTCGCAACGGCGGTCATGATCGCGCGATTTGCGAGCGAGTTATACCGCGGAATGGTAGAAATGACGGTAATCAATGATTGGCATTTCCCACATTCAGTATACCGGCTTGTATCCGCTTTGCTAAGAATACCTCGATGGCGGCACGATGCCGTGGCGTTAGAATGATGGATGGGCGGTGGCGGCGGTGGTTTGCCGCTACGAACCGACAATAAACCGGCCGTTGAAACAATTATCAGTCGAAACAAAGCGCATACGACGGTCGGGACTGTCAAGTAATGGCCTTTCATTTACCGATCACCGCGCACCGAGAGAGTTTCGTAAAGCCATAGTGGAAAGGATTTCGTTTACCATAATGGCATCCTAATGCGCGAAGCATGTTCCAATCTATACGTTGCGAGTTTCTCCCCGCGAAGTCGGAGTAACGAGAAGGAACTGGAGCATAAAGATGACTTGTGAAATAAAAAATACGAGCGGTCCTCCGCTCGTATTAATCCGTTTGTGGCATATTTAGCGCTGAATACGCATGTTAAAATGTAGCAACAAAAAAAAATAATGGATATAATGAAAATTTTAAGTAATTAAGAATTTGAGTGTAAAGATCGCACACATAACAGTCAAATATTATAATAGCACGTATTAATTTAAACAATTTTATAACATTTTCGATTTTAACAATAATGGAATGTACATCGTTCATTGATCAAAAGATAAATGGTTTATTTGGTTGAAAATTTGTCCAAAAAATCTCAAGTTTATGGAGATTGACCCAATAAAAGATCTCGGGGGGGATTCCAACGAACGTCTCTGGGTTGAGCACCGCGGTTGCGCCACGTCTCAGTTGAAGCATGGACCAGACAAAAGATCCTGGTTCTCACGACCACGCCCTCTCCCCGCCGCCTCTGCCTTCACCAGACGGCGGCGATGCCTTCACGAAGGTACCTATCCACCGGAAATTCCTGAAGCAACCGCGCCGCGCCACATCGGGTTGTGTATGCACACGGTCAAGTACGGAATGGAATAGAACGGAACGGCGCGATCTCTTCCAAGTTCTCGTGACGCGATAATAAATGGCCAGAGTTGTACATCTATACGCGAGGGCGCCCGTACGAAAGCGTGTAAAAGTGCGAATTCTCACTGGACAGAGGCATCTCCTCGGCGACGCTTAGGAACGGTATCGAATTTCCGCGGGGCTCTCGCGCTCTCGTGGCGTGCGAATGTCGGCGAACTTTGACCCCGGCGGGTCGCGGATCACGCGCGCGAAAAGTCCTGGCGAAGGATAGCACGGCGCCACGCCATGCCATGTGTGCCTCTTATCTGTTATCCTGTAGCTCGCACAAGAGAGTCGCATCCTAGAGTCTAAGTCCGTAAAGCGCGCACAAGTTGGATCAAGAATCGTTATTAAATTCCTTCTCCCATAAAATACGAAAGATCCTCCGTAATCGAACAAACTTGCGCTTATCGTGGAAGATTGATTTTCAGAAGTACCTCGCTATTGATATCGGACAGCTATTTCTCGAGTTTGCTACTCGTAAATCTCGCGGCGAGCAACTACCGGTTATCGCGTCCGTTTTGAGCACCTTGTTCGCGCGGCAGCCTCGGTCTCGTGGATACTGAAGGAATGTCCGATGACTAATGATTTACCGTGAGTACCGAGTACTTGACCCAGCTGGACGACAGGTCATTAACTACCGGTCGTACACTTAAGTTAAACATTATTATTATCGACACAAATCTTACGGCGATATTTGGTAACGAGATTGTGAGTTTCGCGTCGATTTCACGTGGGAAGACGGAGATAATGACTCCAATCTGTACGTAGCGAAGTTTCTTCGCCAAGCAGAAGAGATTTCCATGTCCGCTCACACCGAAAGCATCATGCTGTCGTGCGAAACAAGGGTCTAACTATGTGTCTATGCACGATACGTAATTGCACGGCAATTAAATTCTTTTTTGTCAACTTTTTTCCACATACTAGACGGTCGCTGATTTCAGATATTCTGGCATATTTCTATCTAGGTGCAGATTAATGCTGCTTTGAGCGAGAAGCTCACACTGCGCGAAACAATAACATACCTAGCGAAACTGCACATGCGAAGGGAGAGAAGGGATCGAAGTTAAAATGACGAAGCGCGTAATCGTTTCAACAATCGCTGACGCACGCGCGTGAATCACGATCGCATATAACGATCATCGAGATTGCAGCGCGTTTGTTTCTCTGAATCGATTGATTTATTCGATCTTGATTAGCTTTCTCAACTGAAGTTCCAGTAAGACATGTTGAATAGTTTTTAATCGTGTGGTGAAGTAAAGAGATTTATGATACAAAGATATGTAATTCAATTAATTTTTTGCTTCTACATTCAGTAGCTTATAGTGATATAGTGGCCTTTTGTATCTTTACAATCTGCATATTTTATGCAGATTTCCCACGGTATATGTCGATCTAAATATAACTTGAACTATACAGAATAATCGGAGAAAAATATTATTTTTGATAATAGTAATTCAAACAGATGTAAAAATATAGACGCATAAATTACTTATCGAGAAAACTGTAGACACGAGTTATTCTTTTTACACTATCGAGATATTCGGCCAGATTAAAGCCTAATAAAATCAAAGTGAAACTTTTTCAATTAACTCACCGGTGTGGGTCCTCTTGTGCGCCTTGAGATGCGAGCTCTTCGTATAAACTTTGTCGCAGCCGGCGACATCGCATCTATGAACTTTGCGTTTTTTCAACGCGTCGCCGCATTCGCTGTCGACACTTAAACTGCCGCCAACACCAGCGTTTCCTCTACCGCCCAATCCGATGCCCGCTGCTAACGCCGGGCGTTTATGGAACACGCTGTAATTAGACAATTAAAATCGCAAAGGGTTAAAAATGATGTTCGTAGATTCAAGCGAAAATATTTCACAAGAGCTATTTAGTTATTCTACTCTCTCTGCATCCCGATTTTTTGTAATAATTTTTTTTACAGAAATATATTTTCTGTAAATAAATTTTACGATCTAAAGAAATTAACATAAGTAAAATATAAGAACAAGGAGCTTATTGAAAATTTCAGAAATAAAAAGGAATCCAAATTATACAAGCAAATTGCGTATGAAATTATGATAGTATTATATACTATAAAGCGATTATTTTCAAAACGGTATTTTAATTGCATAATTTATTCCTAACATATTTATTTCTGAAAAAAATTATGATATCGACAGTCACGATTTGAATTAGTTTTCCGCTTTATACGATCAAAAAACTTGCCGAGTGATAAACTTTCGATCGAAGCACATATGGAAGGCAGAAAATATCGTTCAAAGTGAAACAACCGAGACGGTATGAAAAATACTATTTCGTCAAAAGAAATCAAACGCGGGCTATATAACGCGACATATCGCGAATTATGAAAGGATCAGCTCTGGGATCGCGCACTTTTTTACGCCTGATTGCCGCCCGATACTCATAACTATACACTATATACTCGAGATGACATTGATTACGACGAGCAAACGAGAAACAAGAAATGTTGACGTTCGTGCACCCGCTACCAATATCAATTCCAGTATGGTCATCCTCACCGAGACGTCTTCATCAGTCGTTTTGCGTCGCAGACTCGATCGCGTGTTCTATGACAGATAATCTCTCACTCTTTTTTTACAACAGCAAAGGATATAATTACAAATTTTTGATACTTATAAATTCAATATTCAATTTAATCTGATTTTATTTACTTTCCAATTTAAAGTCTGATGATTTTTTTGTGCAATTTTCTTTTATATTTTTGTGAAACTGGCCTAAATCTATTGAAGACGATTTTAGAAAAAATATCAAAAACTTACATATTTTTTTTACAATAAAAATTCATTAAAGAAACATAAAAAAGAGATAATAATTAAAATTGGCGATCTTTCAATGTTATGAGTCTTACAACAGACTATAAAATTTATTCGTTCTAACAGCAAAAACCTGAATTAATAATTTTTTTATTTAATTTAAATTAGAGTACGTAATTTTTTCAGTATTGTTAAAGCATTGCTTTTTCGTTCAATTGAATGTACCAATTTCTAGCGACATGTCATTTATGATGTAGTTTTCGTTTCGAATCGGAGCGCCTTTTTCGGTAAGTAGTCGAAAAACCGAGGAATTCCTCGAAAGCGCGCAATCGGTCGAATGACACCGAACTGATCGGATCGATGGAAACAAGAAAAGCGTATCAGGCTAGTTCGATCAATCTCAACTTGACACACTGAATTCTAGTAGGACTTGTTTTTTCGCGAAACTCGTACGTGGTAACGATGCAGATCGGCTCGTGTTTCTTAGATCGTGCCGTATTAGTACCGATCAATTTGGCATAGCGCAACATATCACCCGCGGATCACTTGCGAATAAATACCAGATAAACATCGACAAACATTTAATCTTAATCAATCTAAAATCTAGGATTGATCATGTAAGATTGAATGTAGATAGAAAATCTAAATCGATTATGCAAGTCTACGAAACTTCAGAACGAATAGAATATCTTCCAATGATCTCAACACGCTTATTTAAAAAATAAACGTGATCCAATTTCTCTCTTTCTCTCTCTGCTTATTTTATCATTACAATTTTATTATCAGTGAAAGATAAACTATCAGGCAACGATATTTTATATAAACTCATCGAAACATAAATTACGCGATGATACCGATCTATGCCATTTGGATCGCGATCGAGGATTCACAGAGCTTCAAGCTAGCCGATAAAATGCTATCGGTACCACTGACGTCGTCCTTAGCCGCGCCATATTTCATCGAAACCATGTGAGGGCTCGTCGTACCGTGCGCGCTATAAACTAGAACGGCGTGTTGCGCGAACTGACATAAATCCGTTTCCAGTCGCGATAATCCGGCTCGCGTCTGCCTCAAACCACCCTTCAGAAAGTACCAATGTGTCTTTGTTCGCTCGTATTTCACACTATCGAGATATAAACGTCATAGGAAATTAATTATTCACTGTATTCCAGTACAAACAGATTTTCCTGACCATTTTGCTGTCACAATTTATAAAGTATTGTATTAGCAAGTAAAAAATAGCATGTTAACAAGCCATGCAAAATATATCACAATGTAATTTATATGAAAAACTATCAGACTAACAAGTAAAAAAAAAGACGCGCAGTTACAAAATTTTTTCGTGACAACCAAAAATTGATAAATCCCAGTTTAGTGACAGTTGACATTTGTATATCAGTCGCATAAAAATTAACGTGTATGGTTAGTAAAGTTTGAAAAGTACCGCTTGAAAACGAGCTTTGTTATAATCAAGTAACTAACGGTATAATGAGAAAATCTAAACTGTTCATCGGCTGAACTGGTCATTGTAAAATTCGACAATCTGATAGGCAAGAACGGCTGGCAAGTATATTTGTTGTAAAGTATTACGCGCGTATTCGTTGCGGATTTCCTCTACGGATGGTACTGACATGCGGGTACCAGTATCCGTGCGAATGTACTCGTGTCCATTCGAGTCTTACACTCGACGTCTAAACAAAGAAACAGAAATGTACATACAAAAGACGAATTAAAATTTATATCAAACGTGATTGCAGTCATTTCTTTGTTATATGTGGTCCGTCGTGATAAAACAAGGTCAGATAAAAACTCTAATAACGAGAAACTGTATATAATTATTTTATAAATGTTAAACGAAAAGGATTTTTGCTTGGCATATCGCTTTCACAGTTTTAAGTTACTGATAGATTTCCTTATCTTCGGTTCTCTAAAATCGCGCTTAAAAAGTGCGCAGTACGCTTGTATAGACAATGATTTGCAAAGAACGTAATGGATCGATGTCACGCTAATTGGGCGAAAGGAGCGAGTCGAAATTACTTAGACGCGTGCTCGAAAGAAATCGTGACGGCACGTGTAAAATGAGGTTTGTTAGCGTGCGCCGGGTGTCACGAGATTACTATGTTTCCTAATGTATGTCAGAGTGGTTTCTATATGGGAGATGGATCGGGAGACCCGGACACAATGGAAACGACAGTCGCGCGGGCGCGCGGCGAGAGCAAATTAAACGAGATTTACAGCGGGCGCACGATCTTGTCCTATTAACCCTGGACGTGCTTATGCATTCGATGAAATACGACTGTATGTAAGCATCAGCGGCGTGAGCGATGTCCTGCTGTTTTCGATCGATTGTAAATTGATAATAAAGTCAGTGTTTGTATTTAACAGTAAGTTTGGCATGTAGGTACGCATATTTCTGCGCTCTTGTGCGCTTATTCTGTATGTCTTCATTCTAACATTTCAACGAATTTCAGATTCAAGTGTTAATTTCCATTATCGATTTTATACAAGAATTATGCCATTCATCCAAAAATTTTCGCAATTACCTTGTATTTTATTTAATGCACATTAATACGCGAGATTTCTGATATAATTATGTTAATAACAGTCATTGTGAATATATATATGCGTGAAAATTCCTTTAATTAGAATCATAAGAGTCTCTGCAGCAAGACATTAAATTACACTCGCATTGTCCGTGAAGCAAATTCGCTGTGCGATCATGCGGCGATATTAATTACCAATTAATCACTGACTTTTATTATACACGCTCGTCTTAATTATACTGCATCCAGCGTGTAATTTTAACGCGATCCTCCTCGACGTTCTCCGTAGCTTTTACGCAACACAAGATACACACTTGTTTAGGTGGGACGCAACAGGTGAATAATAATACTTACAGAGAAGCCTCCTTTATCCTCTGCAACGCGAGAAGGGTCGCGGAAGAGGAAACGAAGACGGGATCGGGTGGCTCCATCACGCAGACCGACACATCTCTCTCCCGGTCCCTCTCCCTGTCCCTTTGTCTGTCTCTATCGCGATCGCGCTCCCTTTCCCGATCCCGCGCCTCCCTCTCCCTCATCGCAGGTTCTCGTTCCTGCTGCCGTTCCCTCTCATTCTCGTTGCCCCTCTCTCGCACCCTCTCCCGGTTTCTCTCCCGGCTTCGATCGCGGTCGCGATTTCTGTCCCACGCTGCTTCGCCCAAAGATGGTGACACTGCAAAAGAAACAGAAGTATTCGTCATATTCCCGCAGGCTGAACCGCACAGTCATTTAGGCTTAGCAAACCCACGGACCTGAGCTCATACATTGCGGTCATACACATGCACACATACATACACATACACTTACACACAAGTGGTTAAGAATTTTAAAACGAAAACAATTTAAAAGCGCGAACTGTAGAAAACAATTTTACAAGAGATAATGCACTTGCTGGCAATATAGACTCAATCCCAATGCCATCTTTTTTTTTCTTTCATTAAAAGAAAGATATCCATCATACTTCTTGCATTTGATTATCGTTGAGAAAATGTGACTCAAATGTGTGACTCAGCGAGAGAAAAATTTAAAAAAAAATAGAATTTCGCCATTAATATAAATTATTTATTCATAAATACCAAATCAATCGCTTTAACATTTAACAATATTTAATAATGATCAATTATCCACTGAAAAATTTACGACGGCGGAAATTTATATAGTTAAATACATTATTAATCTAAGCTAAGATTTATATGAGAGAAGTTTCTCGATTTAATAGAAAACGTAATTCATTGCATAACGATGGGAATGTCAATATTGATTTTCTAAGCGATCGAATTATGGAGAAGGATATTCCCGTTTAAAGGAGAGAGAGAAGCTGTCTTTATAGATTGGAAACCCATTTCCGAGAACCGGTATCATTTGCCGCCCAACTGATTACGGTATTTTACATAATTACGCGGTATCTCTCACACCTTGCGTGGAGCGTAACATATTCCGAGTAATTACTATTATTATTGCTGAAAAGTAAAGTCGCGAATCACGGTGTCCCGAAGAGACGCGAGCGAATAATGGGAGCAGCGACTGACGTGTAATAATTTCTTTCGTGTACGATGTGTGTTTGCCACTTTGTGCGAACGTGCCGTAGCAGTCACGGTACCGTGCCCTCGATCCATCAGCGATCGAGGATCGAAGGTCGATGCCAGACGAGCACGATGCAGCTCGCGCAATTCTCCCGCGAATAAATCAACGTAGCGAAGAAACGCAAACGTTTCTTGCGCGCGAATCCCTTTCCAAGATGCGAGCCTTGCGCGACCGCGTGTTATAAATGGCTTTATAATTTCTTCTTACGAAACGGCACGAGATCGGTCTGATTTAAGACACTCCATTCATCATTACGGCGGATTCGTCGGACATGATATAAATGAATCCGCCTCCGATCGCGGTTTCCGCGGAATTTTATTATCGCTGTATTTACTGCGAATCGTATCCACGTTTTTCCTTTCCGCTCAACGTTTCTACGTACATTTCTGCGTCTTTCTAAAAGTTACCGGGCACTGTTTATTACCGCGTTACATGGAACATTGCAATTTACTTCGCCATCCGGGGAGTTTCGATGACCTTCGACCCGTTGACACCGCGGCCGCTGCACCTTGCTCGCACTTCTTGCGATTTGTGCGAGCTGGCCCGACAAGCATGTTAAATATCCGTGACATTACTGTTACTAATTAATAGTCACGTTAGCGGCGCCAATACATTCGCGTGATCGAACGGGAAGATGCAAGCACATTGTCGATCGCATTGCTGATAATATTTTGACCGCGCATGCCTTTCATTTGATTAGAAAAGTTACCGTCTCGATCGTCCTCCATAATTGACGTAAAATCATAATTTGCTCACAAGCTCACCTCGTTACGCGACGATAAATTGCTTGTTAATAAGTATAACTATCAGCAAACATAGCGCTGTGTAACTTTGATTGTGCAAAACTGCCAAGTTCATATTCTTCATTAAAATTCCCTCGAATCGTTCGACATACGCGAAATTGATATAATTGCATTATTTTAAGTATTTAATAAAATTACTAGAGAAAATAATAAACAAAAAAGCTTTTCAGATAGATGTATTCATGCCTTCATCTATTCATGCGGCGAGGCACTCCAGAATCGAATTGAGGATCATTACGAATTCAATCTGTCGAATCACGACAGCGATATTATTAACCGCAATTTCTGTGCGCCGGGCGTATAGCTTCGCTTAATTAGCTGTTGGTTCGCACACTTTTCCCCCTCCTTCCCCTCCGCCAAAGTCTCGTTCTGGACGTCTCGTTAGGGCCATTAACTCTTCTCGTAGTTCTAGTTGAGACCTATGATCTTCGCTATCTAATGGGGTGCGCAGTCGTCACAACCGGGAACGATTTGACAGACCTTCGGCCGTTGTTACCTTCTGCACGTTTTATCCCTGTTCGTTTCTTATTATCGACTCCTTTTTCCGTCGCGCGTGGTTAATTTTTACATTACAATATATTGATTAATGCATATAATTTTTAAGCGACTGACGTTGAATTGATGTGACGCGATCGTTTAATTATGCCTCCAAAAATGAATTGATTTCCGGTAAGTTAAATTAACTATTAAAACAATCGCGCGCAAATAATCTGGGTTAGTTTAATTTCAGATTAATAATTCCCTATCACTTCCCGTGTTACACTATTTATACCATAAGAAAATTCAGTCCCTTACAAATTTAATAAGTTTTTACTAAATGTATTATGCTATATATTCTATTCACTTTGTATAATAGTATTTTTAATCATTTGTACAATAATTCGTACATGCTTCTCGATTGGTATTAAATCATATTTTTTCATTCAAGTAGTTTTCTGTAACCGCGTTATTTTCGCTAATGTTAACGTTTCCCAATTATCGATTACCATAAATTTTAGTGCGCGTTTCAAATTCGTCCCGCGTCTTCTTTTGCTTCTTGATTATCGTGCCTACGGTGGAACCATCCCTCTCGCATCCACTATATCATCGCCTCGCCCACGCCAGCAACAGAGTTAACCCTAAGCATTAGCGGTAATAATACGCGGTCTTAGCATGTTTCGCCTTTCTGTCCGTTTCACCTTCGTCTTCTCCTCCGCCGCGATCTTTTGCCGTCGATCTTTCTTTTTTTTTTTCTCGCGCACACACGTATCCGACGCTTTCGCGGCCGCGCGCGAGGGAACGTCAGGGGGTAATTGATAATGTTAAACGCCGGGGTTAATCCGCCGATTTATGGGCAGAGAGTGTGCCGTGGATTTTTTCGAATCCGCCAAATTGAGGGATAATCGTCCGACATTAATGCCTCGCTGCTAAAGATCGCCGCGCCGGTCGCGCAAGGCCGGGAGGGTGATTGAGAGAGATAAGTGGGAGTTCGGAGGTTATAGCACTTCGCGTGTCCGGTGGCGGATAAAAGAGGCCTCGCTAATCCGCTAAGAAAAAGGGAGGCTGCTTGAGTCGACTGAGAGAATAGATCTCGAGTTAGACGCAGCGCGAGCGTTGAAGATAAAGCGCTTGGCTCGTGACTCAACGTCAAAGATAGTCACACGTTTGCATCGATGCGAAGCACGTTTCGTTCAAAGTTAATTTTTCTAATAAATAAAAATATTTAAAAATACGGATAAAACAAATGTAGAAAGTAACAAGATTACTGAATTAAAAGTCAATCGTATATAAAAATAATTGTAGCTTTATTAAAATATAAATATAGTTTCATAAAAAACTATAAAATTAAACGTACGTCGCGTTTAGAAGAAGCTGCTCATAAAATGCTGGTTAGTTTTTGTGCTGATAAATGCTGAGATGTGAGAGAGACAATTTCGAACGCGTCTGCGTCAGTGACAAGTGATCGTAAGGATCCCGTTTACTCCAACGGCAACATCGGTTATTGCACATTGTATAATCCGGCGAACGGGCGCATTAGGCGCGCGGAAATATGCGCGAATGCCCGCGTACGAGTATGCGAGTGGAAGGTGGGTGGACGTGCCACCCGCGTCGCGGAACTCGTTAGACGTTAGAAGTTTTCAATTAAGTTTCCAGTCTCCGCATAAGCGAAACCGCCGGGATTAGCGCGAGCGACCGGACTTGCGTCGATTAATCGTGAAGTATTATTTCTCATCCCGTGGCCGCGGGGTCCGCTGCGACGTCTAGAAATTTATCGACAGTGGTTCGCCGTGCAAAGTACCGGTTGTGCGTCAGGTGCAAAGATAACGCGCGCGATAACGCCTAAATGCTTATTCACGCTGGACGCCCCGTAAGTTCATCGGCGGAACGTGTTTCGTGGTTGAGAGGAGATCCCACGGATGATCGCCGTAAACTTTCACGTGGATATCTATGCGTTTCGAAGGGGAAAAAAACACACGTGGGCCGAGACAATTGGACTCACGTGTGGGTGTATCCAAAGTTCGTGTAAATATCCAGATTGTACAATCAGGCGTTGACGTAATTTTACATATTTATAGCGGAGATATTGGCGTTAAATATATGTCAATATATTCTCACACTTCAGGCTTGTTGAAAAGAAACGGTATGATAACTATTATATTTCAACAGAATAGAATAGAATTCAACGCCATGCGTGGTGAAATGCGCTTTATTCGCGCGACAGGGTTTCATTTCTGGAAATAATTAAAATTTACACTTCGCTGAATTTACGACTTCACGCCGCGTTGCGCAATCCTATGGCTCAAACGTGGGATGAGCGATTATCTCTTTGTCAAGCGGCGTATTAACGTATCTTTATCATAATTAAGCGCCGCCTCGTGCACGCTAATTGACAAAGGCTTGATTGCACTAGCAGCGCGGTGAAAGTAAATGCGGAAATGCAATTATATGTACATATAATATATATGTCGCTTCGCCGACGACGAAGATTGCGAAATTATAACGCTCGTGCTACACTTATAAATTTCATTAACCTAGAGATTATGTGCAACAAATGACAAGTGTTACGTAGCCACAATAATGTTTCATATCTCAAAACTATTTTACTGTCCGCTAATTATTCATTAACATATATAGAATTTCAATATACTTTACTGTCCGAAGAGAAGTGTCAAGAAATGATATGTTAACTCTGCATGTACAGTATTTAATATGCATGATGTAATAATCGTTTTCGGTCTCATTGTTTAA